ACCAGGTCAGACAGGAACCGGGCCCTTCAGAGCCGGGTCAGACAGGAACCGGACCTGACAAATGGAGGGTTCTGATCACCTGTGTGACCGGACCAATCATACAGGTCGGGTTAGTTCTTCAGCAAAGTGTCAGACCCGGTTCTGGTGTCCAATGGACCAGCTGTTTTATTGAACATCAGCTAAAGTTCCTGTTTGGGTCCAGAGGGGGCGCCACTCACCAGAACACCAGGATGGGGAATAGAGAGGAGAGGGTGAGTGACCAGAACCAGAACTAGAACTGTTCTGGACAGTTTCCAGACCGCAGAGACCACGGCTGACCAAACATGGAGGTCAGTTTTAATTGCATCTTGTGTTGATAATTTTACTTTTTATTTGTTTTTAATTTTTCTGTCAGCTTCACATCACTTCAGAAACCAAGTTGGATTCTGTTTTTAACATAATGATGGATCATCAACATTTAACCCTCCACACTTAGAAACATTTCTGAAAAACTGCTACTTTAAAATAAGTTACCGTTATCTTAACTAGAAACGTAACCTGACGTTCTGCGCTAAAGACACGGAAGGAGAGATATAGGAGACACCGACAATGTCACAACCTGCCTGAGATTATTATAACTTAGAGAGAGAGAGCTGTGAAACTAGATAAATATGTGAAACTTCAATGCCAGAGAAGAAAGCTAATGACATTTAAGCTAATGGCAATTAAGCTAGCAATATTTAAACTCACAACATTTAAGCAAGTAATATTTAAAAAAAACATTGAATGACAGATGTAATATTCGTCCAATCAGGTGTGGCCAAGAGGAACACCTTGTTGCTTGGAAACGCCCACTTTGGCTGCAGTCACACCACTGGTGGCTGCAGGGCAACATGCAGCTCTAAAAACCTGAAATATTTCATAAAACCTTTATTTTTTAATTATTTTAGGTATAATTTCAAATAGAAAATTCATCCCAGAAACGTAAATGTGTAAATTCTAACAGGACAGATTTGGAGGTTCTGTAGGTTCTGGACCTCCCGGTACTAGCTCTACCTTCTTCTTGCGGTTCTGCGGGTGCTGCTGCCGGTCCTGGCTCTTGCCCAGCAGGTCCGGGAACGCCAGCGGCTTCAAGGACCGGGACCGGGGTGCCCGCGGGTACCGGAAGTCTGACTCCCTGGAGTCCCGGCTGGCGCCGCTCCGGACCGAGCACAGCGAGCGCGAACGGTTCCGACCAGAGGAGTGAATGCTGTTGACTCCGATCATGGCCGATCCAGGTCGACTATGGTCCGAATGGAGGCGGAGGGGTTCTGATCCGAATGGTGGGGGAACACAGTCTGGACGGAGCTGTTAGAGGTTCTGGTTCTGATGGATCTGGTTCCTCCAGCAGGTCCAGTCAGAGTTCTGGGTCGGTCCAGAAGCTTCCAGATCTGTTCTGGAGGAAACTCCTTCCTGGATTAGATCAAACTTCTGGTTTCTGAACCAAACTGTTTCTATTTCTTCAACGAGAATAAAAATATTTTAAATCGCTTTAATTCCAGTAATTTCAGATTTGAAGCAGATTTCTGTTTTAGAGTTGGAGACGTTTCATTTCTGGGTTCATTTGGTGCAGAGATGACGTATTTAAAGGTTTGATCAGACTTTCTGAAGGAGCCTCCTCTTCCTCCTCTTCCTCCCGTCTCGTTAAACAAACCCAGACTCTGCGCGGTCCCGGCGGTCCAGCCAGGTGGTTACCACGGCAATGCGACGCCTCGATCACCCAGACAAACGCATCCCAACTCGGAGCGGCGGCGAGGAGAATCCCTGGACTGCAAATAAACGTGTGACGAAGGAGACGCATCAGCAGCGGCTAAAACCCAGAGGACGACGAAGAGGAGGAGAGAGAGGGAGACTGGGGCGAGCGAGCACACCCACACAGTCAGACAGAGAGAGAGTGAGGGAGAGGAAGGAGGATGAAGGTGGGGAGACAGAGGAGGAAAGTTTCTCCTGATCCACCCTGAATCTGACACAATCCCTTCTCCTCTTCCTCAGCTGTTGATTTCCTCCTCTTCCTCCTCCTCTTCCTCCTGCAGGAGAATCCCTCGTCTTCTTCAGGTGATCTCAGTCCTCTGCCTCTTCCTCAGACTGAACTGTTAAGGACTGTTTACCTTCCTCCTCCTCTTCCTCCTCTCTCTCTCTCTCTCAATGCGCATTTTCTCTGAGCTCAGCAGCCAATTAGAGGACAGAGGCAGCAGCTAAGGCCCGCCCCCGGCTGCCAGTCATGAGCTGAATGTAGATGAAGCTCAGCCATGAAGAAGAGCATTGTTATCATTTCAGAACTGAAAATTAAACTATTTATTTTACTTTAATGTTTTAAAACCTAATTTTTATTGCCATCTAATTTGTTCTCACAATATAAAATCGTTTTGAATGTTTTTATTTTTGTATTTTCTTTTATTTTAAATATTTTTGTGGAAATATCAACAATATTTTAACAGAAATTTTTAATAATTTGTTGTAAATTAAATTAAAATGCAATTAAAAAAAACATAAATCACTGAGCTGCAATTTTAACTGAAAAGTTTTAAATATTCCATATTGAGTTATTAAAGTTAAATGTATAAATCGGGTGAATTATGTCACAAATGAGAAATAATGTGTTGTGGTGTCTAGACAGTGATGAAGACCTGCTGACGTAAAACTTAACCGGGATTTAAGGCTCCTGCCATTTCACATTACTGAAAAACCAACACCAACCAACACCGTGGTTAGTCAGGGAGATCTGACCCACATCTTCCCAGGCTCCGCCCCACAACTCCACAGGCTCCACCCCAATCTCCATTAGCCCCACCCTGGATTTCATTAGGCTAATGTACCAATTTTTGCACAATCTCCCTACAATTTGTCCCAGACCTTCAGTCTGGAACTAGACCAGTGTCACATTCAGGTCACTGGTTTCCAGTCAGTTTGAGAGTTCATATTATAATTTTAAAGAGTCTTCATGGACTAGAACCACAGGAGAAGTTTTAGTCTTGGACACCAAAACATTGAGATCATCAAACATATGAATGTGGCTTCATCTCCATGCTCCTGTGTTGCTCAGACAGGTTTTTAAGCGTTATTTAGATTAATTCTCTGATCAGATTTTGTTCTCTCATTACACTGAATAAATAATGTTTATAAAGTAAGTCATTTAACTGCGAAGAGATTTCAGCAGAAGTTTCTTGTTTCTTCTTGCAAACACTGATGGAGGATCAGACCAGGAAGAGGAGAGCAAATTATTCCTGTTTTTCTGCCTTTCAGTCAGTCTGAGTTGCTGCCCACACACTCTCTGCTCCAGCCGTTCAACCAGCCGACAGCTCAGCAAACGCTCCACACACACATTGGCAACACACATGATGATGATGAGCATGATGAAGGTGAAGAGGTGACGCAGATTCATGTCGATCGCTCCGAGGCTGAGGTGGAACCGACCCACTCAGACATGAACACATACCAGACAGACAGAACTACCCACAGCAGCCATGAGAACTGGTCTGAGTGCAAACAGTGATGCTGTCGCTAAGGCAACGTACTGCGGATGAAATGTCCCAGTCCATCATGTCCAATACGTCTATGGACCCGGACCCACTTAAAGTTTGTGTCCCCAAAAAGATGAGTTTAGGTTGACGTGATGTCCAGACGAGAGAGAAAAACAGGTCTGTATGTATGTGTGTGTGTGTGTGTGTGTGTGTGTGTGTGTGTGTGTGTTTAAAGCTGGGATATTTCTAGATCACATGTGTCAAACTCATGTGAACACCATGTCTTTTTATGTGGCCCCCAGCGTTTTATAGGCCTATGATTGACTTAAAATATGTTTTGAGCACGAATTGACTACAAACTACATCTCCCAGAATCCATTCCGATTGTTACCAGCCAACATTACGGCTTCTCGCCACTAGAGAGCAGCAGAGTCACCTCAAGCTGCTTATTGATTTTCCCAGCGAATAAAACTGAGACATCGACAAGCTAACATCAAAACGTCCAAGAAAAGAAAAATCGATTTACAGGTAAGACTGTGAATGAAAAATCGATTTACAGGTAAGACTGTGAATGAAGAATGAAGTCGAGCTAGACTTTTTTTGTTATCCTTATCTGTACTATTTTTATCCGTGAAATTACAATCATATTAACATAGCTATTTAGTCGCATTTTATGCGGTGTAGTTAGTATTCACTGTGAATCCAGATCCCATCACAGATGAAGCAGCTTCATCTGATTAGCGCTAATCTGCGCTAATCAGTCAGTTGGATCTGTCTGATCCAAACAGATGTTTGGATCAGACGAGGGCCCCGATGACCACAGGCCTTGGTGTTCATTCGGGCCACAATTCTCTCTCTCAGGTCAGTTGCTGTCTCGTTCAGCTTTGATAGTTCGTTCATTACTGGGGCTGCATACCCAGTCTCGGGGTGGGGAGTAGTTAACTCCCCCCTGACCTTACCTATGGGGTCCTCCCTGATGTTGGCTTTGTGGATTTTAAGGACTTTTTAAATTTGATGTTTTAAACTTAACTGTTATTTACTTATTGTGGATGTAGCCATGAAGCACTTTGTTCAGCACACAGATACTTTTAAACCTACTATGTAAATAAATTAACATAAATAAACATGAATATTTTTAAAAGATGACTAATCTTAAATTGTGAGCAAACTCTTTCACCTTCAGGGTTTCTCTGGATTATAAAAAGATGAAAACATTAATGAATAATAATAATAATAATAATAATAATAATAATACTTCCGTTTTGTAAAAAATTTAGTTTTATCATGGCTGTTTGTTAAATTGAGAACATCCCATAGTTAATACGATAAATCTACACAATGAGGAGAATTTTTAAATCTAATGACAGAAAGAACTTTAGGATGTTTCAAGCTTAGACATTCTATGCGACAGCAGCAGCTGATTGCTGTGACAGAAATGTAAACAATGGAGGGAGATGCACATTTTGTTGCTGGAAAAACAGGAAATCTAAAATCCTATTTATAGTTTTCTACACAATAGTGGACCACACAAAAACACGCAAAAATTATGAAAGATTGTTTTGTACTGTTGTAACTATTTAAAAATCTCCCCTTCAATTTAACCTTATAAGTGGAGACACATTGTTGATGTTACTATTATAAAATAGCTTACAATTAAGTTTTGGCAAAGCTCAAAGTAATTTTCACAGGTGGTGGGGTGTTGTTGTTAGCAGCTGCTGAAAGCAACTATAAAAGTTATCAGTAATCTAAGTTACTTTTTCATAGTGACTATACCATCACTGATTATCAGTATATTTTAATCGGCTGTTTTATTATGAAAACATTTGTGGCTTATTTTACTATTTTTAAATCATGACAATTTTTCATAATCATGACATTTCAGGTTTTGTTCTACATTGTAAAGAGTATTTAAATTCTAAGAACATTTCTACTGTTTGGTTCAGACAACATAAATGGTGTCTTTTAGTGTCAGACATTTTAGGACATGGACACTATTGTCCAATTGTGGACATGCATCTACATAATGGGAAGATCCATTTATAGGGACATTTCAGCATTTTGACAGCACTTATGGAATATGAGAATAATCTGCACCAAATAATTATTTCAGAACAAGATAATTGAGGTACGATTCGGTTTTTTTGTAATATATGAAAGTTTTGATAATTATGAGGGCATTTCTGGATTTTAATGAATCGCTGTTATATGACTTTAGGATTATAGTAATATTTTAGCAAAAACAACTTTTTAAATCTGGAGTTTTCTAGATTCTGATATTTTGTAATTATGAGTATTGTTAACACATGAGGGCAATTTAGTAAAATTATGAACAATGGTGAATAAGTACTTTTTTCATTATAGATGTTTCACTGATATATGGTAATTTGAACACGAAAACATTTCTAGATTCTGTGAAGATTGTTGTTTTGTGACGACATGTCAATATGAACAAACATGAATCTCCGCGGCTCAAACTGAACCAGAGTAAACAATACAATCTGGGTAAATTAAGAGGCAGTGGGATTAGATCCACAGAGAGGAAGTTAAAGAGACACTTCTGCATTATGGGGACGCCTGCGGGACGTTCAGAGTTACATGGGATGGGGACACACCTTGAGCAGGTCTTTGGGGAAGTCCTTCCCGTCGTTCAGTCCCTCCAGGTTGGAGATGAACTGGCTGCAGGACATCCTCTTCCCCACATTCTGCACAGACAAGAGGTCAGAGGTCGCTTTGCTTGCTACAGTCGCCTCTGCTCAGTTACAGCAGAAACCTTCAGACCCGCTGCTGTCTGTGGTCGTTGCCACAGCAACAGGACTCACTTCCTTAAACAGAGTAAAGGTCTGGAGCGGCAAACTTACAGACAGCATCTGATTCATATATAAACATTATTATAAATAAATCAACATCAGAAGAATCTGTTTCAGAAATGTTAAAGTCGTAAAAACGTCACTGCGATTCATATTCATCAAAAATAATATATGTTTTGTTTTTAAAAATAATGAAAAAATTCTGAGTTCTTCATAATAAATAACTCATTAATTTAACCAAATATGGAGTTCCATCCAATTCAAATGGTTAATGCGGGTTTACATAACACCAGTGGACGTCAATAGGTATAACAGGGAGATACCTGATGTATGTCCACAATGTACAGAGGAGTTCACTGAATGTGGTACTGTAGGATAATTATACTGTTTTGGAAAGAGGTAGAAGATGTAACTGAGAAAATAATTTTGGATGGAAAGCTGTTTGTTTTTGGACTGTACCCTGAAAAACATAATTATACTAAAAATGAACAAACATTTATAAACTTAAGTTTGCTCAATGGAAAAAGATGTATATCATTGTTCTGGAAAAAGACTCATGGAGCGACTGTAAACCAATGGCTGCAGCTGATGTTATCTGCCCTCCCTCTGGAAAAGATTACATATGTATTAAAGGCCAAACAGGGTCTGTGTGAGTTCATCTGGAATCCCTTCATTATGCACGTCGAGGACCTGAACATCTCGGATGACGGTCCAAGTGACTGAACATGTAACTGCAGTTCCCAAAGGCAGTTCTAGAGGACATACACTGTTGAATCTAACGTCTCAGTATAAAGATATGTGGAATATGTGATGGGATGCATTAGAACCAGGATTGTGAGAGGCATTTTGTTGTCTTCTGTTTGTATTTTATTTCGACCTGAACAGAACTACTGCTGCTGTCATACTTTGCAGAATGTTCAAGCTGTTTGTCTAAACTGCTAAAATTCCAATAAAGATATTTTGGGGAAAAAAAACATAAAGAAATGGAGTTCCTGTTGGGAAGCCAGTCATGTGACCACATCAGTAAACCCGATGAGGAAGATGGAGACACTCACGTTTCCATGGAGATCAGTGTTCAACAGCATGACGGCGCAGGTCAGGGTGTGGACACTGCCTGAGAGAGAGAGAGGAGAGAGAGAGAGAGAGAGGGAGGGAGAGGAGAGAGAG